ATCTTACACCCTTCATGAAAATTAACTCAAAATAGATCACAGACCTATTAATAAATATAAAACATAAAACACAAAACATAGGAGAAAATCTAGATGACCTTGGGTTGGTGATGATCTTTTAGATTCCATACCTAAGGCATGATCCATGAAAGAAATAATTGATAAGTTGGTCTTCACTAAAATTTAAAACTTCTGTTCTACGTAGACATGGTCAAGAAAATGAGAAGAAAAGTCTCAGATGGGGAGAAAATATTGTAAAAGCCTATTTGATAAAAGCTAGGCTTTTAACAATAAAAGATTATCTAAAGTATACAAAACTCTTAAAAGTCAACAATATCAACAACCTATTTAAAAAATGGGCAAAAGATCTGAACAGACACCTCACCGAAGAAGACATACAGATGGCAAATAAGCATATGGAAAAATGTTCAATATCATATCATTAGGGAATTGCAAATTAAAACAACAGTGATATAATGGTGAAAACCAAAAACACTGACACCACCAAATGCTAGTAGAATGTGGAGCAACAGAACTCATGGTACACTTCGATAGTTTCTTACAAAACTACATATACTCTTACCATACGATCCAGTAATTGTGTCTCTTGGTATTTACCCAAATGAATTGAAAACTTACATCCATGCAAAAATCTACGCAGGGATGTCTATTCATAATTGCCAAAACTTAAAAGCAACCACGATGTCCTTCAGTTCGAAAAACTGTGGTACGTCTGTGGTACATCTAGACAATGGGATATTATTCAGTGTTAGAAAGAAATGAGTTATCAAGCCATGAAAAGAAAGGAGGAATCTTAAATGCATATTACTAAATTAAGTCAATCTGAAATGGCTACATACCGTATGATGCGTACAACTGTGTAACATTTTGGAAAGGCCAAACTTTGGAGACAGTACAAAGACCAGTGCTTGCCAGGTTTATGGAGGAAGGTTAGATGAATAGGTGGAACACACAGACAATTTTTAGGGCAGGGAAACTATTCTTTATGATGCTATACTGGTGAATTTATACCATTATACATTTGTCAAAACCCATAGATTATATAATACAACACCAAGAATGAATGTGGACTAATAAAACATGGACTTTGAGCGATAAAGGTGTATCAGTTCATCAGTTGTAATATACACCACTCCGGTATGGGACGTTGGCAGTGGGGGCTGCTGCCTCTGTGCACGCACAAACCCACAGGGGATATACGTGAACTCTTTGTACTTCCTGCTCAATTTTTCTGTGAACTTAAAACTGCTCTGAAGTCTATTTTTAAAAAA